ACGTTAGGATCGTCAGGAGGGTCCTTCCTACAAGAAAAGGGTCACAATATGTTTGGATACTAGAGGGATATACGGACCTAATACGCTTCCGAGTCGGCTTGGTGACGGATGAATTGCTCAATGGTGAAATCGACCCTATATTTGTTTGTGGAGTAACCAGGGATGGGGTCTTGGTTGGTGTGGGAGTTACAGGAGTAATACCAGGGTTTCCTTTTTCGGTGGAAATGCTTATGTTCGAGTCTTCTTCCATAAGATAGTCAGAGGTTGCGGACGAGCGTCGTTGATTAGGCGGAATACTGGGGGGGATTGGGACAGACTGGCTAGGATCTGCTGGTCGTATTTTGAAGGTGTTCATCATGCCCCACTGTTGCACAGATATGGGCTTTCGTTTGCTTTTCCCTTGGCCTGTATGGATCTTTTCCAAGACACCTGGTTCATTTGGGTCGTAAGAAGACCTGCGAGCCGATGAACTTGAGGATGTAGACGTCACAGAATCACGTTGTATATCCGATACGGGAGTTGCATGTGAAGGAGTGAGACCGCCCTGCAAGGACGTCGTCGACAAGCGTCCGGTCGGGAAACGAGTGCGCAAGCTGGAACTTGGCAAGGCAGCGTTTCCCATCCGAGCTTCGTCGTCGTCTTCATCGTCATCTTCTGCCAGTTGGTCTCGTTCATCGTCTGCCCGATTTGTGCGTCCCATCTCTGTCCTCGTCACAAGGGTAGAACTTTTCGACGCTGGATCAGCAGCGGTCGAAATCGACTGCCCGACCTCAGGACCATGAAGCGCTTCCAGAGATTCAGCTGTGAGGTTCACAAACGGTTCTGCACGAAATTTGTTGGAAATGCTATAGGTACTCTGAGGTGGGGGGGAGGCCATTTGCATGTGCTTTGTCTATTACTGGATTGGGAGACTAGACCTAGATAATTGGTGTTTCATCAAGGGATCGTTTTCAATGGTAACCACAACTTCAAAGATAGCACTCATACGTTCTTGTCATACATTCCACACATACCATATTAGCAAAGCATTCGATTTCAGAATGATACAGTCAAATATTTTTCTCCTCT